TTTTAAGGTTCTCCTGATAAGTACTAGATTATATTAAAAAATAAGAAATGAAAAGAAACAATTTCACAGTTACTGAAATATTGTAAATACAACACATAGTTATTTTTCCCACACCAGAACCATCTGACAATAATTTGAAGACCTGAAAGCCCCACAATCCAATAATTTACTAAGTATGCCCTACAAAGAAGGATATTCTCATACATAATCCCAATGTGACTATGAAATACATTACTTCATCTAGTCCTCAAGCTAATTTCATGTTTAGATAATAGTTCCAAAAATAGTTGTTGTAACAAAGTGTCCCTTGTCTCTGCAGAAACACAGTCTGTGCAGGCAAATCTAGGCTTCCCTGGCCTGACCAGAAACACATGGGCACACTGCACCTGTGCTGAGTTACTGAGATGAGCCAGCACTGCAGCCGTGCCCAGCCCTGCCCCAGCCCCAGTGATTTGCATGTTCCCAGGTCACAGCACTCTGCCCTGCATATTTATTCATAGGCTGGCCACAGCCTGTGCAGTAGTCAGTCCTAATCAGGGCACATCATGGACTTGCGATCGCCCACTCAGCTCATGGGGTTCCTGCTGATCTGGTTCCCAGGTAAGGACGGAGAACACTAGGAATTTACTCAGCTCAGTGAGGTCAGTACTGCCTGGCATTTTATGGAAGTCTTCTATAATGTGATTAATCATGTGGATATTTGTCTTTATGTTTCCCATCTCAGGTGTCAGATGTGACATTCGGATGACCCAGTCTCCACCCTACCTGTCTGCATTTGTAGGTAACAGAGTCACCATCACTTGTCGGGCCAGTCAGAGAATTAGTGATGATTTAGGCTGGTATCAGCAGAAACCAGGCAAGGCTCCTAGGCTCCTGATCAATGAAGCAACCAGTTTGCAGACAGGAGTCCCCTCACGGTTCAGTGGCAGTCAATCAGGGACAGATTTCACTCTTACCATCAGCAGTCTAGAGCCTGAAGATTTTGCAACTTATTACTGTGGACAGTATAACAGTTACCCTCCCACAGTGTTACATCTCATAACATAAACCACCCAGGAAAGCAGAAGTGTGAAAATTGGCTGCCCCAGCTTCTCCACTCATTTCCTTCATCTACGGAAAAAGTTTGTTAGACGCAGACACTCCTTGAAGATTACTTAGATTTTGGTAGAAGGGACAAGGGACACTAGTCTGCACCCTATCCCTCCTCCTCCTCATCTGAGCTAGCACCACAGACATAACACCTCTCTTGATTCCATAAAGTATGGAGTTATATGCCTGAGGAGTCTGTGTTCAGGTGCCAGTTGAGATTCATACTGCAAAAGAAAAGACACTGTAGTTATTCCAAGCAGGAATAAGGAGAGTTGAAGTCAGAATTACAGCCTTTATTTATTTATTAAGCTATGATTCCAGAATTGCTGAAAATAAAAATAAATAAACAATAGGAGCTAAAGAAAGAAACAAACCACTATCAAAACAATATCTTGAACATTTAGAAGGCAAGAACAGAAGTGTGGCTACTAAAAGTGGACAGAAGGAGGAAAAAGGAGGGCATTAAGGAGAAATTAATGAAAAATTGGTTAATGGACATCAAGAATGATTATGCATTTTAATGAAACACAAGCTAACTGTCCTGATTCGACCATCGCAACAATTGATAGTCAACTTTATACCCTACAAATATCCATAATCAATTATTCTTCATTAAAAAAAGA